TATACATCTGTTCGTCGAAATATTGATATATACATTGCTTGTAGGTATGTATGTACTAGTGCACAACCTTTATTAAGTTTTATGAATAAGTAATTTTTCGTGTCTAATAAACTTAATATGTGAATATATTATGCATGAAGATTGTATTTATGTCTGCATGTGGGTGGATGCTTAAAATTAACGTGTCCCCCCCTCCCATACGTTCACCGCATTTTCACTTTACGTATATTTAATGCGAAATAATTGTACAGAATATTAATGCATTAGGCTATCGGCGTTTAAATGTATGTATGTATATACATAGGTAGATAAATGTCTATGTATGTATGTGGCTTTAAGCATAACATTCAGTTAAAATAAAGTTTAAAATAAAATATACAAAACTCAATTGGGATATATTCAAAAATGAATGAATTTTAAATTCAAATCTTACATCCATTAAACAAAATCTATTTAAAAATTTCGTATAATCAAGGGAAAACTTGAATATATGTATTTCAGACATATTCTTTAAACCTCTAAACTGATAGTAATTTTACAACTTTTCCTTGAAAAAAGGTTTAAAAATGTTCATCTAATCGGTAAATAATAAAAATTACAATTTATTGCACAAAATAATAAAGAAAAATAGAAAACTCATCTAGTCAATGAAAAATAATTTTATTGACAAAAAAAAACTAAAATAAAATAAATAAGGAAAATAAATATGTAACATTTATTTAAAAATACAACTTCCTTCTAATTGATTAAAACTTTAAATAAAATGAAAAACTTGTTGAAAACACGCAAATTTTATCTAATCAATAAACAGAGTAAAATTTAATAAAACATTTAAATTTCAATGGCCAATAAAAAAAATGTTTGTTAGAAAATAAAATAAAAACTAATCATGAAATTTCAATTTGTTAACAAAAAAAAATATAAAAAATACTATACAAGGTAAAGGGATACAACAAAGTTTCGTCCAATCAATAAATTAGAATTTTTTGGAAAAAAAATAAGCAAACACTAAAGTAAAATTAAAAAAAAAAAGTAAAATTGAATGTTTTTTGCCGAGGATAAAAAAAATATGTAAAATAATCTAAAAATACATTTAATCAATGGATTTCCGAAAATGCATGAAACTACGATCAATGAAGAAAACATTTCTAAAACAAATTTCCAATTTCATTGTCAAAGCGATTCTGTGTGACTGCAGAATGCGCCACACCTAAAAAAAAAAACAAAAAAAATGTGTTCTACCTAAAAAAAAAACAGTCTACTTTCAAAATCAACTTTGATTAACGAAACTAATGAGAAACAAACAATTGCGATGCGTCAACAAAATTATGAATACATAGTACATACAAACAAAAAACAAATGAAAGCGGAAAAAAAACTCTACATAGTTGTTTGTATGCATTTATTAACAAACGCTGACGTAATGCGCAAATTCAACACATTTTTTATTATTTAAGGCAAATGTAAGAATAGGCATACATACATATGTACATATATGAACAAACAGGAAAAAATAAATGACACAGCCAAACATGATTGAAAATTTAGTAAACTGTATGTGGTAGTAATTGAAGAGCCCAAATATGCAAAAAAAAAATATACGTATGTACATATGTATGTATGTAGGTATGTACTACAGATATTGAAAATACTGCGCACTTGACATTCAAAAAACGTTCGACAAACAAAGGTGGGAAAATATATACATATATATATGTAAATATGCTGATAGGCATAAATAAGGATGGGTCGCGTTGTAACAAAAGAACGAAAACAAGAATATGAAGACGTCAGAGTCAAAAGCTTTTTATTACCGTCTTACATTATTTTCGGATTTTTTGCGCTTTATTTCCTGCTTTAATGCAAATGTAATAAAAATTGGACTATAAAACACGTACAAGTTAAACAAAAAAAAAAAAACAAAAAAGAGAACGAATAGTAACATTGACAGAAGGCCACTTTTACTTATTAAAAAAAATTGTGCCGGCTTTCGGCATAACAACCGTAAGCAAAGCAAAGCGGGAACTTAAAAAAGCTGAATTGAATAAATGGACTGGTAATTTAACAGTTTTAAGAGGCAATCTTAGGGCTTTTTGACATCTCTTCGTTCTTTGAAATAAATTAAATTTAGTTATTGTTGAAATGAGTTCAACTCTTCTAACGAAAAATATTTTTGCTTTATTCCGAGAACATTTTAGAAATGTCCGAAGAAATAAATGTTCAAAATAAAAACAACAAAATAGAAAAAGTAGAGGTAGATGCGGAAACTCATGATGGAAACTTTGTAAAAAAGAAAGAAAAGAGATACAAATAAATATAAATATAAAATAAAGAAAAAATTAAAAAAAAATAAGGAAAAAAAAATAAAAAATATATAAAAGTAAATCAAAAAACTACCAAAAGAAATTAAGGAAAAAATAATAAAAAAAAACATAAAAAAAGAAGGAAAAATATGTATAAAAATAAAGATAAAATGATTTTGACGTTGCTAAGTGAAACTTTTTCTTGAAATTTAGGTGAAGGCGAAGGCACATACAACGGTGACAATTAAATATAATACATAATGCATACATAAGAATTTTCTTATATATAAGTGTGAGAGATTAGGTAAAACGAGGAAAGTTTGGTAAATAAATAAATGCAAAAATAAATGAAAAATACATATACGTAAACGTAAACGTAAATAAATGAATTGAAAAAGTTTTAAGGCGTCTAAAGAACGACGAAGACGACGAGAAGGCTAAATGTCTGCGCCTGCCTGTACACACCACACCTACATACATACTACATACACATTAAACGCGCTACTTTGTAGCAGTAAACTTAATGGATGACTGAATTCACTCACTTAATTGACAGCATATAAATAAAAATAAAAGTTAAAATTTAATGTACATATGCATATAAATATGTAATTATGTATATATGTATATAAGAAAACGTTTGTAGTACATATTTATGTATGTATGTGAGTTGTGAAAAAAATCAAATATTAGTAAATTGTCAACGTGAATTATAAAATTATAAATATGTATGCAGGAGCCTTAACTGTGACACTGGTAAAAGAAATGTTGAAATGTGTCTATAGCCAGCCACGCCTTCATTTTGAACTTTTTTACACTTGTAAAAATCTTTTCACAAATAAAGATATGAACGCAACCGTGGCAGCAATCAAAAATTAAGTTTTATATGTATACACACGCATCGCATTTGCAAATATATCTAAGCAGACAAAGAAAATTCAACCACCTAGTCCCTCTCCTTCATCATCACCACCCACCAAAACACGCACCAGAAGCTTGAAAGCAGAAAAAGGTTCATACCACTGACTATATATGTATGTAAGTGGGTTGGAGCATTTGAATAGACTTTTGTTGTCTTATTTGAACTTTGCCTGTCTCGGGCCAAAACGAAATTCTGGGAAAGACAGGCTATTGAAATCCCATTACAAGTTCAAAGGCTAATTGCCAAAGCACAAAGGGAAGGAATATGGGCGTGCCAAATAGAATACATAAAAAGCGACGGCAATAAATATGTAGGTACCCTAGATGGCATGTAATTATTTGCATTAGAGCAATTGCTTATTTAAAAAGTAATATGATTGGATGAATAATAAAAAAAAAAATACTTCCACAGTTTTGAGTAAGTAAGAAAAAAAAACATAATTTTTATAATTCTTTTTTTAATCTAATTTAATTAAGAATATTCAATCATGTTGCTAACATGAATTTATTTTTGTAAATTTCTGCAATGGATATAATTTTTGTAGTTATTCATTCTCTCATGATTCGTTCAACTTTTCTCGTGTCCATGGCGACAGTAAACCGCATTGCAGCACTATCACCGCGGCTACATACAAAACCAAACTTCAATTTGTATTTGTGTGTATTTATGTATGTACGAGTATGTACATGTGTCTGTGTGGTTATGCACTTTGTGCAGTGATGCATCATTTGTAGCGCATTCTTTGAGTATACATCATAGATTTATAATTAAAAAAGAAATACAAAGGAATAGTGGCGTTTTAAAAAAATGTGTATATATGTATGTATGTATGTATGTAAGTTAGATTTAATAATTAGTTTTGTACCAAAAATTCTCGAATACTTCGATGAGAAAAATAATAAGTAATATTTACTAATTCGAGTATTTTTCGTTTTTCTCCCACGCTTAGCCACAGCAGAATTATTAAAATGCCATCAAAGTTCACTTTATTATCATGCAAAGTATGAACTTGTGGTGACTTGAATGATTACATAGATAAATATTAAAAAAAAATAAGTAAATAAAAGCAAAAAAATTAAAAAACAAAAAACATTTCAAACAACTTTTTCAAATAAAAAATAATTAAAAATTAAATTTAAAAATGTAAGTTAAAAAAATTTTTAATGAAATAAGAAAAAAATCTAACCAATAATTTTTTTAGAAATGAAATAAAAAAATTCAAATAGAAAAAATCTAACCAATAATTTTTTTAGAAATGAAATAAAAAAATTCAAATAGAAAAAATCTAACCAATAATTCTTTAGAAATAAAGTCAAAAAAAATTTAAATTTAAAAAAGTAATAATTAAAATCAATTAAACATATGTTATCAAGAGACGAAATATGGAAATTAATCAATTTCATTGGCATACTTAATATTCAGTAACTCAAGATTTTATCATGCACAAATTCATGATTCATGAAAATTGAAAAGTATACGAATATACATACATATACTTATTTTTTGTTTAATTTAAAACAAAATTAAGAAAGATTACAAAAAAAAAATAAATAAAAAATTAAAACCAAAAAAAAAGCAAAAAAAAAACATTAAAACATATTTTCAAAAATAGGAAAACATCGAACTCAATTTTCAAATATCAAAAATCAGTTCTGTTCAGTTCATTCCATTGACATAATTTATGCATTGAAACAAATTAAATCACAGGTACATTTCAAAATCAAAATTCTTCCGTTCAAAAATATGCATATGAGGAAATTTTTATATCCGATTACCTTAACTAATTTATAGATGTGTAGTATGTATATATTACAACTAAGTATGTATGTAGGTATGCGTGGCTTTCCGTCCTTCTTATAAAAAAAAAAATGCAGCAGTCTAACAAATCCAATTATGCGTAAATAGAACTTCAGGCTGAGCCGCCACAGATGAGCAGATTCTGCGGCACAAAACTTCTAGACACTGCAGTCGTCTTAGCGACTAACGACGCGTTTCAACAATTTACACGTTTCCTCGTATTTTTCACAATTATGTAGTTTTCTTCTGCTCCCCCCTTTGCTTTCTGTAGTTCAGTTAATTGTCACACTTCAAATGTGAAAAATTTCGCACCGTAAAATATAACGTTTTTTATGCTTAGATATGTGTGTGCGTATTTTTATTTTATTTTTTTTTTGTATCTTGTGCCACAAAATAAGCTTGAAAAACTCTGAATCTTTTTCTTAGAATTTTCTACTTTGCGTTCATGCAACACCGACGACAAGAAACATGCTAACACGCTTCTCTCCGCTACTTAACTACCAACATGCCAATTGGCCAAATTGGAGTTGAGCATGAAAAGCGCTGGCGGTGTACGACGCACGACGAAGCTCGAAAGCGAAGGCAGAGTAACGAGCAACGCACGCGAGTAGCTCTATACAATAGCGAGATGAATGTGGCGAATGAGCGCCGCCACATAACCGAATGGACGAGTTCCGTGAGAGAATTGCCAGAAAAATCTCTAGCTATGACGAATACACGTTGTGGGGCCATCATTGATGTCTACTCGCTGCTGTTCGCTCGAATTTGAATTCACCAGGCCAAGGCAGGCAGGCAGCAGCGTATTTAGAAAACTCGAATGGAGCAACATGGGGAGTAAGTAGCAGTGTGCAGTTGGTGATGGCGAGTATGTAGTATGCAGTCATTGACGCCGGCAATGCCGCCACACAGCTGCCGTCTGCCGGGACACATCTAGAGCATGCCACCAAAACTGCATAATTATGTATGAGAGAATGCTAACTGTGCAGACAATGGCACATCAATAGAACTAACTGCCGGAGCTGTAGAGCTCGCAAATGACTAGAAACACATAACCAATGATTAACCAAAAGTTGAATGCGGAGGCCAATGTTATCTGGTCCAAGCCGCTTGATGCTTGCCGCGTTTGCAAGTATGTATGTATGTGTACATGTACATGGTAAACGCATACGCAGATACATTCCAAGCGGCAAACACGGTGCATGTAATAGTGCAGTAACAAAGCGAAAAGCATAAAAATACCAAATGTCGATTACAAGCAGAGAGAGCGAGAGGTGTTTTGGTGTCCGATTTGGCATCGAGTGTATGATGAGGATTACATTTTTCCATCACAGCATTGGCATTCGGTTGGCATGCGTGTGCCTATACATACATATGCACATACGTATGTTTATACATGCGTATAACTCGATTTTCGAGTTCCAAAGCAATGGCGTGGCATTAATTTCATGCAACTACAGCTATGCCTCACCAGCGGCGGTATAACTAACTATACAGTAGCAATAAAAGCTTGAAAAAGCATGAGTAATATGCGGCAATTGAAAATAGCGGCGCTGCTGCTGCGACAATCATTATTTTTAAAAAGATATGCTGCCAATGTGCTGCGTCATCTTTTTCAGTAAAAAAAAAATTAGAAAGTAAAGAAAGAAATCAAGCGTCCTTGTGTCTCAATAAATGTTTGGAACCAAGGGCGTTAGCAGCAGAACTTAATACTCGTATCTTCAGTTTATTATTCTATTTATTTTAGAATATATAGGTATATAGACCGGCTGGTCCTTTGGTAAGTCGAAACTTCATCTAGTCCTTTGAACTGCGAAGCTCCTAAATATCTAAGACGAGTTCCAGATAAGGCTCGACAAACGCAGAAGAGATGTTTTAGCTCTCACTTACGCCTTTATCTGGCAACTCCTGCATGTGCCATAGTTACTTATGCTCATTCGCTTCGCGTGAGTTGCTGTCATTAGGGCAACGACCGCCCTGCAGTCCTTTCATAATAGCAATTGATAAGAAAATGATCTTATTACTTTGGATAAGGCTTGTATAATAAGCATTTTTTAAACAAGAAAAGAAGTTTCTTTTTCATTTTGAGCATACGATACCCCCCTCAGTAGAGAGTGGGTTGGGAATACTTTTAAATAAATTCCCTCTTCTTTTCCCCATGCAATTTGATAGCAGCTGATGAACAAATCTGTAGCTGTTTAGTATGAGAGGCAAGTGTAACCGCGACCTTCCGCGATCGCTTTCGGGTTCAGAGCAGTCCGGACTGTTACTGGTTTTCGGTCACCGGTCTATTTGGTCAGTTTCCCTCAGACGCGTCCCTCGGTCGGTCAGGCGGGAGGTCGATAACGCTGGGTTCGTAAAGTTATTAATCAATCAGGATTCAATTGATCATCACGTTCACCACATACATATATAATCAGATTAGACAGATAATTCCTAATCAATCCACTTCAATGGCAGTTCTCTTGTTAAAAAAAAATTATCAACGTAGCGATTTTCTTGATTTTGATATTTGAAAAAAATGTGTGCAACATTTTTTAGTCCACATCTTCGCATTGGTCTTTCGCTGTAGAACAATTAATATATGTACATACATATAACACACACATATGTGATATTTATTAAAAGTAGTTGTGCCTCAAAAACTCTTCCGCCCACGCAGTTAGTATTTATAGGTTAATTCAGATGAATACGAAAATTCATATAAACACATGTACCTACATACATGCTATGTGAATGTGCATTGCATACTTATTAGAAGGAAGTAGATCTACCCATTTACATACATACATATGTTTCTGTAGCTCCACGTGTAAATATGTTAGCTATAGAGATTTGTAAGTTAATCATGGAGGCCTGGAGATTTGAAGAGTTAATTTTAATTTCAGTTGTCATTTGCACGAAAGCGGTTGTTTGAAACACACACACAAACACAGTTATGTATATAATCCTTTACTATATACTCGTCTCACTTAATAAACAGCAGCAGAATAAGTGAAATTGTAATATTATATAAGCCCACAGACAGACGGGCAAGGCTTATGCACCACAATTTCCGAGGTCAATGTGTCAATTATCAATTATCAACTAGACATACACACACACCCACACCCGTCCCTGCAATTTCCATTCCATTACTATGAAAAATTAAATCAGAAAACTCTTATGCAGTTTGAATAAAGAAATTGAAATGAAAAATATTCAAAACAACTGTTCTAAAAACACTACTAGAAAACTACTTTAGAAAACAAAAAAAAACATAAGCGCGCATACACTTACAATGCTGCTTATTAAAAACACAAATGCAAGCATGGATTGACGGAGAGTGTACAAAAGAATAGAACTTAATTGAAAAACTCACAGCGATCATGAGTTCAGTAACAGAAATGGGAAAAATAAAAGGAAACAGAGGACAAATAATCGAAATGAAAGATTCAAAAGAACTGAAAACCCACTACCAGCCGTCATGCATTCAATGCATAGTAACTAAATAAAAAAAGTGTTCAAGTCCAGCGGAAGCTTTACAGCAAGAATTAAAGCGTGCTCATTCAGAACAAATATAGTGAAAAAAACGGAAATGCACGAGCAAATAGAATATTATTTTTATATTATTCCACAGGCAATAATACTGCGCTCACAGCTTTAATAGACGCTTAGACGAGAAGCTGCATCTTAGGGTTTTTCTTTATGCGAACGGCGTAACAAGCAAGCAGTAGCAGTAATGAGAAGCAGTTCCTACTGGGATGCTACCGCAGGACTCCCTTCGAGTGAATGGCGTACTCGGAGAAATAGCACCACCCATAGCAGACAATGGGCTCGAGCTGCCTCGAGAGACCCGCGTGACCCTGACACAACTCAGGTCTGGATATTGTAGCAGGTTAAACTCCTACCAATCCAGACTAGACCCCAGCATACCTAACGTAAGCCACGCATGTGAGGAGTCCCCGCACGACACTAACCACCTCTTCACATGCCCCCTCAAACCTACTCATCTATCCTCCCTCTCCCTTTGGTCCAACCCCGTCGAAACAGCTAGTTTCCTGGGCCTACCATTAGATGACCTCGGCGACTAAGACTAATTAAGCCTGTGCCTAAGCGGGGTTAGCGAACCGCTACAACAACAACAACAACAGTAATGAGAAGAAATAAGTCCTATTTCTATTAATAAAATAATATAACAATTATAAAATAGGCAAATATAATAATTTTATCGGTATAAATTTTCAAAATTTCTTAAGCGGTGATTTTTATTTATATCTACACTGAAGAGGTAAATACATAATTATATCCTACATAGGTTAAGGTTTTCACTGCTAAGCTTAAAATAAAATAAAATAAAAATGTAGCATACATCTAGGCATTGAAACTTATTTCAAATATTACGTAATGGCTGTAATATACATAAAAAAACATTTGTAGCATAAAATAAATTCTTTGCGCACGTCCTAGCATGAGAAAAGATCAATAAGAATACTTTCAAATTTTAATTTAAGCTATAAGGGAATTTACAATACCCTAGTGGCATCAACTAATCTCAATATTTCTTCAATCCATCATCTACCAGGAGGAGAATAAATTATGCACCACAAAAATTGTGTACCAATTTTAAGTATTTTTTTCAAACATTTCTATTTTCACATAATTTCGCATTGAAATATATAATATAATTTATATATATGTACGTAGGTACATACATAAATACATATTGAGTAATATACTGTTTTGCTGAATGGTAAACATATTAGGTGTAGTAAAAAGTATTCCATTAGATTTGCATGAAATTGAAGACTTTAATTTTTACTTTTCGTATACAACATTATTCAAATGGTTCCAAACCGTTTTCTGTGCAATCTTTAGCTCATGACGGTCGGAGTCGATAATGTTCATGATTTTATCGATATTTTCGATAATTGGCCTTTCACTCCGTGAAGCATCTTTTACATCAAAATTACCCGAATGAAACCGAATATTGGGCATGATTGATTTTAACAGTATCAATCGCAAAACTGTCATAAAAGCGAATATCATCTTTCTAACGGCATCTAGCGACATATGCTGACGATATTATGATATTAGGGTCTCTACAGAATGCAAAAAAAGCGAATAATATGATAAACAAATATTTAACTACATTATCTAATTTTTTCTCCAAATGGAAATTGAAAATTAATGTTTCAAAATGTGAATGCACTACTATCAAAGGGCTTCATAAATATCTCTATCCAAACGCTAGAACTTTTATAGCAAATATTCAAATAAATGGAAATCGTATCCCGGTTAAAGAAGAACTTAAATACTTAGGCGTTATACTGCAAAGTAAATTCAACTTCAAAACCCACCTGGACTATGTGATTAAAAAGGCAAAAAATATGTTCTTTTCTTATATAAGCCTTATAAAACGTGCAAAAGATTTAAAATCGGTTATAAAAATCAGTATTTACAAACAAATAATTCGACCAATCTTAACATATGCTTTCCCAATATGGTTTA